AAGGTCTCGGCTGATTGTTTTAATTACTAAATTTGAATAATTGATTACATAAGATATATCTTGACATTCAATCAGATATCTTCCGAAGCCATTCACATCGCTCCCCCATCTGAAATGCCCCCTGTCATATGCACCTGTTCATACTGCAAAAAGTGCAAGGTAATTATCGAGGGTATTGAACACCCAGGCAAGGAGGTTTCTGCACAAACTCGTAGGGAGCACGAGAAGCGTGATAAAGATGGGCATTCTCCAAAGCGGAAGCATTGAGCATCCTCAAGTTCAGCTCTTAAACAACCTCAAGCGCCAGATCTCCCAAAGGGTGTGGAAAAATTTATATCTTCCCCTATTTGCTAACAGTATTCTAGATGTTTTAATCTCTACTGGAATGATCATCAAGATGGTTTGTGTGCTTGTGGTCTGGCTCCATCTCAGGGCTGGTGTTAGTCGATCTGCAGCAAACACTATCCTGCAAGCACTTCAGTTCATCATCTCCACAATGATTCAACTCATTGAAGCAGCTCTTTGATCATATGGCATCAATATCAAGCTACCAGATTTCAAACTCCCTCACGATGCCCGTTCAGCGTATGGGCAAACTTTTCCTGAGCCAGATCAGCCCAGGCTGTAGTTTAAGACCAAATTGACCCGGGTTGTTCCACCTTATTCATTTCCATAGCGTACACAATTGGCCACTTGTTCAAAATGCCATAGGCTGTGGAAACTTGGTCTCTTTGAAAAAAAACCTTTCCAAAATGAAAATATCAGTAGAATAATGTTTACCACAGTTTAATATGACCCTACATTAGGTTTTATGCAAGAATGTCGTTAATGGTGCTGATATTTGGCATCTATTATTAGCACCTATGTTTTAGGATGTTCCCCCTATCAATATAGCTTCTTTTCATCCGATTTTGTTGCGCTACGGCTGTCAATCACTGCTAATAATACGCCGTATGATTTCCGTGTTGCTCAAACAACAGAATATGTTTTCACGGGTATGTATTTTTAGCTACTTTTGTTCCCTCCCATCAATCAATGCATCCGCCTGTCAATTCTGACACTACGTTGTCAAGCGCCTCTCCGCATAATCATGATATCCGTCCCTCCCACTCTGCATGTTGCCTATTGCTATGTTTTCCGCCCATTGATATGTTTTCCGCCTTCGTATGTTTTTTCTCCATATGTTTTCCATTTATTACAATTCTGTTCTGCACTCCATCCTGGACTGAATCAGAACATTACCTACCACCTCAGCTCCTATATGATTTGTGTGTTGTTATACTCTAGCCGCGTTCACGCTAACCAGTCACATTTAAGCAGTCTTACGTGCGCGTTGCGAAACGCGTTTGAGACTCACTCGACCCTCAACATCACGTGATGTGGTTCAAGTAAACATTGAGACAAGCCGACATTTTACACACAAGAAATTCTATTAGTACATCATAGTAGACTAGTAACAAGACTCAAAAGTGTAGCGTAAATAACAAGAATGTTCAAAATGTAGATATGATTGGTCCAATAAGAAGCCCACGCGTTACCAAATGTAACTATAGTCTATGGAAGGGATCGCACTTCAAACGCGTGTCGTACTGCAGCGTCCAATGGTAACTTAGATCTTCTGCTTTTTGGTGGGGGGTTTTGAAGTGGTGACGGATATACTATACACTGGACATCAGCAACCGAAATGAAAATTATATGAGGGAGAACAAATTTACCTTGCATTCATCACTTGTGACATGACCCAGCTGACGTCCTCCACGGCAGCTTGCCAGCTGGAATCATCTTGTCCGTTGCCTGACAGGCCAGACTCCCACCACACCAACGTAGCCAGCACGGTCAAGAACACGTTCTGACCGTGCTTGTCCACAACTGACCATCCATCCTCCCCCGTGGCTTGTTTACGATGCGCTGGACCCAAGGGCCCCTCCACGTCTGCAACCCCACGCCAACCTGGCTGCAATAATTTCCACCACGTCCACCACTTCGCCTCAAATGACGACACGTTCTTGATCTCGGGAGACCTCATGCGAGCGCGGCCCACCCACCAATCGACTTCGTCTGGCCGCCCTTGTTTCTTAAAACCAGCTTGAGGTCCTCCGATGCTGAACCCGTTGCGACGCTCCAGCTCGATGTACTGACGGAACGCTTGGGTCCAGGCTGGGCCTAGATCTCGACCTGCCAGAAATGAGAAGGCCTTCGAGAACCACGTGGGCCACTTGGGATCCAGGAGAGGGGAACCGTCCATCGTCGAGCCAGGTAATGTGGTGTGATCTGGAGAAGGGATAGGAGGCGAGGCAGAGGTTGGTAGGGGGGAATTGCGCGAGGGTAGCGCAAGAGACGGCGAGCTAGGACGAGAGGAAGGAGGTGGGATAACGGGCTCCACTTGAGATAAATTAGTAATTGCCGTGACGACTGCTTCAACGTGTTCTTCTGGCCGCTCTAAACGCTTGGGGTCCATCGTGGTGCGTCTAGTGCTACGCGTGGTGATGCTTGATGACAGCAGATGGGAGGGCTCATCATCTTTGCCACTCCCTAAGCCCTCAGAGTTCGTCTCCTCCTCCTCCTCCGACGACGATGACGACGAGCTTTCATCGTCAGAATCTTCTGCATCAGACTCAACGAATGCTGCGGCTCGCTTTCTCTTTCCCTTCTGGGCCTTGGAAGGTGCAGCCTTACGTGGCGCAGGCTTCTTTGAAGTTCGATCGCTTTTCGCCTTCCCTTTCCGCAAAGCCGAAGAACGTGGCGCATTCACCGTTTGTTTGGTCAGAGTTATATCCGCCGATTGGGGGGCAGAGGGCGAGCTCGGGAGCGCGTTGGGTAAGTCATTCGAAATAGGGTTACTTTTGTCACCCGCAGGAAGAGCTCGTGCCCGTCGTTCATCGGGAGCTGAAGGCGACAGTCAATAGATGTAACACGAATAAAGTGACAGTCCCTTACAGTAGCAAGTACTCAAAAATTCAAGAAACACGTTCTTGACGATGGAGAATTTTTCGACGTCCGCCAACGCCCACTCCTTGGGAACGGGTGCCTTGTTCATACCATAATGGAGACTAAAGTCGATCATAGTCAGCTCCGTAATACAATTTATGAGATAAATAAACACCAACGTTACCGCGTTGATATTCCCCTGCTGTATCGGCTCAGGACCGCCAATAAAGATGGAAAAGTGCATTTTGAGTGACTTGCCTATGCCCTCGAGAAGGGGCCCGAGAAGATTTGGCAGACCATCAAATGCTCTAGTAATAACGGGATGTGAGAGAAGAACTATCAGCGCAGCAAAGCTACTTACTGTTGCGCGTCGGCTGGGCACATCTCTTGGAGAGTCCCCCCCTTGCGTTCCTTCCACTCCTGCTTGGCTTTCGTATGGGAATCGAGGGCATCTTCGTTCCATTGTGTTTGCTCTTCTTCGCTCAGTTTCAGAAACTCGGTCTTTTTGTAAGTGTTGCGGAACGCGGCACGTTCACGCTCAGGCTTGCCACTGTCCGCGAACGCGAGGTTGCATGCCTCCTTCATTGAAGTAAAGTTGGCCGCTCCCCAAACTTCCCAGCCTGCACGGAGCTTGGGAGGACTCGACGGGCTGCCCAGCAGTCGATCGACCAATGTAGCAATTGGGTCTTGGGACTTCTTTGATCGTTGCAGCGACTTGGTCTTTTTTGAACGGTGATCGAACCAGTTATAGAGGGACTCGAAGCAGATCAGTACAGTGCCACTGATTCCAATCATAAAGTTAAGCACATACCTTCCTCATACGCTCAATTACTTTCCCTTTCAGCGCAGCATCAGCCGGGGACAAAACCTCGAACCCATCGGAGGTCATAGCAAAGACCGGTAAGGGGGGGATCGTTTCGTTGTCTTCAAGACGCTTGGGTATGGGGATAGACCAGTGGAACGTTTGAAACCATTGATTAACAATGTCGTCGAGCACAGAATTAGCCTTTTCGTTCGACACAAGAATGGCCGCCTTGTAATCGTCGAGGTGAGCTTTCAGGAACTTCGCACGAACCCCTCTTGCCCAGCCTTTCTTCAGGGTTACGAGCAATGGCTGTGCATCGACCCTTGATTTCCAAGAATATCACATCAGTCTAGGGTTGGACAAGCTTGGCGATAATCACTTACACACCACTCTCATGAGTCCCATCCATCATCGAACTCTCCATTACCGTTGGGGCAGACATGCAGAAAAGCAGGTATGTACGTATCCAATTCTTTTGTGTATACACTCAATAAGGTTCCTTCACTTGTGGGAACGAAGCAAAGAAGCTCTCTTCCGCTTCACATAAAGTCCAAACTCTCAGCTGCATCCTCTCTTACCCAATCCCCTTACTCTTGAACGCCTCTCCACTTATTCTCTCAACATGGTACAATTGAATGATGCCCGTGCGGCCACCGCCTCCCCTGCGTCACGCATTTCTAGTACTGTTACTCTTCACACTCTTGTCTTTTATCACGACATCTAACTTTCCACCCTGTAGCGAATGCTGAGACACGTGTGTCTTCCATCCAAGCCAGACGTCCCGACAACGTGGGTAGGTTCGTTTCCGATGCGTCTCCACGTAGCTGACCTTTTTTTTTTCAGCTCTTGAAGAGCTTTTTGCTCGCTTAGGGATCAGCACTGAACACGCATGCACCACTGCCACCAGTTTCATGTGTATGTTGGTCGCCGTGGAGAACACCTCCACCTCTTCTCCTGGTCAAAACAGCCGTTATGAAGTTTTTTTTACCCCAGAGGACGACTTTTGCGGATTATCCGAGGATGACCTTTGCGGAATATCCGAGAATGGCGATTCATCTTCTAGCTTGGTCGATTCTCACGCCACCACTATGGTGGTCGTGTCCACTGGGAATCCGTACAGCTCTCCCATGGCTTTGACTGCAAGCAGCAACACCATGGTTGCATCTACAGGCCCTGCTTTCGTCCCTTCCTCCCTTGCTCCTGCAAGTCCAATGATGGCCGTTGTAGCTTCCACTGTGGCTCCTGCTGCCCCTCCTGCAGTGGGCCTTGCAGGTACGACGACAGCCCTCCCAGCTACCCCCCTCACTCCTGCTCCAGTCAGTAACAACACATTGGTCATGGCTGTCGGAGTAACCGCGTTGACGGCAGCCCTTTACGCGCTTCCCTTCATCCGGCCACCAAATGCGCCCCTCAACGCTATCCCTCCGCCATCCCATCTCATTACTCCCACTTACGGGTATCACGTTCCTGCCGCCAATGCCGCAGCACCCTTCTATACAATCACTTGCGGTCGTGATATTGGCATCTTTGCCGGTTGGTAAGTCTGTTGTCATTTGAACTGGAGTCTTGCGTGTCTCACAATTGACACCCCGTGTCTTACAACAGGGAGACAGCCAGCCCATTGGTCGGAGGTGTCTCGCACTTCACCTGCTGCTGGGTCGCCTCCATTGCGGAGGGCCACAGCCGTATGGCTGCCGCTCTTGCGGCCAACTTTGCCATGTATCTTTCTTGAGCTGTGCCCTGCGTATTTAGTGGCCGTCGTCATATAATATACTTCCCATGTACCCGTCGCTATCAAAAAAAAAATTGTCCCCCTCTTTATACCACGTAGGACTTAAGATGAGCAGAAACCTATGTTAAGGAATCGACCCACCTCTTCCGTACTCGGCTTTGCGAAGATATACAATACGGTCCAGGAAAACAGAATATAGAAATGCAAAGAACGCCCAAATGAGAATTTGCGTGGACAGAGAAGTGATAGTCGAGTGCGTCGAGTTTCAATGCGCAAAACTTTCGTCGCTACTTGGTCGGGACAAGATGCCCCTGCGCTAAGTGCTAAATTTAGATACTGCTCCGTTAACTTGAAATATTTCTGGAGAGCCAATTTCACCGTCGGCAGCTTCAATTTTTCCTATATGGCCTCCTGAATGTATAGACAACCAAATTGTTAAATAATTTTGGAGGTTTAGCTGCCGTGGAGTAAAAGTCGTAAGAGTCGCAGTCTGCAGTACGGCTAAGGAGCGTTACATAGCGCATTTACAAGCAACGGTGCACAACTGGCCATACTACGTGAAGACCTTTTTTCTTCCGAATGTGATTTATATATCAAACGAAAGGGTTTAAATTCAGTAATCTAACTGTTCCAGAAATATTTGTATCCTAGATAGAAATGCTGCGTGTCGAGAGAAAAAGTCGCTAGAATTGAAGGGCTCTTGATTAGGAAACTCCCACCGCCACCCCTTCACTGCAACCACGGCCATGGGTCGACCCCGCCTTTACCACACACCTGAGCAAAAGAGCCAAGCACGCAAGGAGACGTTAAAAAGGTACTATGTCAAGTGAGTATGCCCACTGGCTACAGTGTTTATTCTGACATGAGCGTTCCCTTCATTTCAGACACTGCGCCCAAATACGCCGTCAAGCGCGTCGTCGGTTTAAAAGGGCCCAAAAATCGCTGCAACAGGAATTAGAGAAGCAGCCGATAGCGGGAGCCATTGAAACGCCGGATCCGTTGGAGCTTGATAAGTAAGGGCCTATTTGGCGTGTGTCCTCCGAGATACTGATCTTTGCGTGTGCTGAACAGCGATGATCCCCTGAAAGTCATCGCCTCCGCTCAGGGACATTTTGAAAAGCTTACCAGAGGGTCCATCTCAGGGTATCTGTCTGAGGTTGTTGAAAGATGCCTCAATGACATTGATGGCAGCAAAGAATACTGCCAAGTGACGTCGAGCGTCTGGGACAGCTTCTTGCATGATGTGCAAGACACCCTCTCGTCCGTTTTGCAAGAGTACGGTTGCAGACCAGAGTATGATGTCGGCGAGGCCACACACTTAGATATACGGCATGTCATAGGTTTAATCGCCGAGGTTGAGGAACTGTTGTTATCGTCGCCCAGCCAACTTTGGGAATGGCATGCTCTCGGACGTCTAGCCTACCAAAATCTATGATTAGAATCAGTTGACCGGTACTAGTTAACAACAGTAGTAAGTACAATACTCAAACCTCACGCAAGTGGAAGAATCCACATTTTCGAGCAAATAAAAACCTGTACAGTTTGGTAATTAAAGTTTGACGAGGCTTGTACACAGGACGAACCTTACTGCGGCTTGACTCATCACGCGTAACATGCCCAAGCAGCCCAAGCGTAAAGTGCGAATTTCCAGCAGACCCGATGTTGTGCCGGTCGTCATTCAAGATGTTGCAGCTGAAAAGCGCAGCCGTCGGCAGCAAAAGGTAAAAAAAACCTCCATCGGCATTTTAACATATTGATTGATTGATCGCCTTACAGATGCAGCCAGCAGACCCTCGCCCTGAAAGGGCTCGGCAACTCAAACGTCAGCAAGATGACATCCTAAATGCGCTCGGCCCCCCTTTCCGTGTTGCGTATAGAGAACAGCAAGTCAACGCGTTTTTCAAGAGGGCTTTGCACTTATGGTTCTTGATTTTTCCTGAGACTGAGGAGGGAATTCGCATTCAGCCCGGTTTTCTGGACGACCCTGACTACGAGGAACACATCATGACTGCACGTAGCAAGGTGAGTCGTCGACTACTAGTTTCCGCCTGTTGCTTATTCGTTGCTTCCAGCTCTTCAAGGGGAGGTTGTGTTGGTCGGCTTCCCTCTTTCCGAGGCACGAACAAGAAGATATCCCCTTTGAAGCATTGTATGGACCTGGAAGGGAAGTGACGTGGGTGAGGGAGATGAATCTCGCCATTCAGAAGATTATGAGCACTATGCCTACGCCGACATGGGCCGACGAGACTTTCCAAAAGATTGAGAGGTTGGTTGCTGGTCTGGAGGTTGAGAGGTTGGGTGCTGGTCTGTCCTAAGCCCCTTGTGCTGTAGTAATTCATCGCGTACTTTCTTGTTCTTCTCATTTTGAAATTGTAAACGACTTCGCCCTTGTCTAATCTTAGATGTCTCCCTACTCTGAGGGAAAATCACGTGCATGTGCATTCTTTCGTTGGTGATCAGTAGTCGTGGGAGAAGGTAGTCTCCTGTCCTACCTATCGTCGTCAATGGCCAGAGGCAAGGGCAAACCGAAAAACTATGCTGTGGTCCGCCATCGCCAGGCCGACTTATCTCTTGGCCACTCACGCATCGCTCATATCTCTGACAACGGCCTTCGGATCCTTCAAACCCCTTTATCCCCTCAGAAGAGGTCGTCGTCATCCACTCACCGCCTCCCAGAACCCGACTTCAGTGATTGGAATCCTAGCTTCGAGTACGAGGGGTTCGAGGAACAGGTGGTCATAGATCCCGAGGTACCGACTGTTGCAGCCAAGGTTGCGGCGAAACGGTATCCAACTTCAGTAAGTGACTTAGAAAACCGTGATCGCAATCTTACAAATGCTGCGATAGGATGCCCCTTTACAAGAGTGGGCTGGGAGGAATAGAGACGACCCTGGCTACCGAGAGGAGTATCTTCGGGAGTTTATCAGGCTCGAAGGACAGGGGGGACCTCGGTGCCATTCGTGCATGTCGTGTTCCTCTGACCAGGGTCTCTATCGGTGTGAGGACTGTCTGGGCCCTCTAGCTGAATGCATGACTTGCTGCCTCAAACGGCATCGTCATCTTCCGCTGCATATAATCAAGGTTCGTCTATTTGTTCCAATTCAATCTAGTTGTCTGACTTTTCCTAGAAATGGAACGGCGCCTGTTATGACAAGACGTCGCTCAAAGACCTTGGCCTCCGGGTTCAGCTGGGCCATCCAGTGAACATGCCCTGCGTACTTCCTCAACCCGGCCACAAGGATTTCACGGTCATTCATACAAATGGTCTCCACTGGGTCGCAGTCGACTTCTGTGGGTGCGAACACCGTGTCAGCAACCGCCTGCAACTACTTCGGAGTGAATGGTTTCCCGCGACAGTTCACCAACCGCAGACCTGTGCCACATTCCGCGTGCTGGAGGTCTTCCACACGATCACTTTGGCAGGTAAACTCTCTGCGCATGAGTTTTACAAAGGCTTGGAGTACATGACGGACAACACGGAGTTGAACATCCCCAAGGTTTGTCTCCCTTCTTCGTCTCTTCACTCATCTGATCCTCTTTTATGAAGACACGATATAAATCGCTAATGCGGATAGTCCGAATGTTCCGCCATCTCAAATTGATGAAACGTGCAGGGCGGGGGAACATCGCTGGAGGGCTCCTCTCGACGGGCGCCAGTGATCTTGCACTTGGTTGTCCGGCTTGTCCCTTACCTGGCGTAAACCTGCCGGATAACTGGCAAGAAGTTGACGTGGAATGGAAGTGAGTATTATGACTTTGGGGTACTTTACGGAATCTTAAGGTGTATAGGTTTTTGTATCTACTGATCATTGTGATGGACGCAAACTTTCGCTTAAAAAATCTTCCTATTTCCCCGCAGATCAACCATACTGCGAACATATCCTCAAGTATGCAAGTCAGAAGGATGTAAGTCTTTGTTGCACCTCTGAAGAATGTTTAACCTAGAAAATTTGTAGATCAGCACATGCAGCGGGTTCAAGACCTTGGCACATGCCGAAACCAAATTCTCTGCTGGATTGCGCTCCACCGGAGTCGGCATGGCTCTCTGCGCTCGTCATGAGATCATTCGGGGAGGTGGGGTGGCCGATCTCCAAAAAGGCGAGAGGTAAGTTGTTCAACTGCAACGGAGACCAACATTTAACTAACCCACCTTGAAAAGGTATTGCAATATGGATTATATATTGCTTTCGGCACTGGCGCTGCTCCTCGTCGCCTCCGTCTTCATTTCGTACGACATCGCATGTCAGTTTAAGCTCAAATTCGAAGAACGGGCGGCAAAGCTTCCCTCGGAAATCCAGCTTCCTCCCAATGTCGACTGCGATTGGGACATTCCTAAATGCCATTGTCCGATGCACAAGGTGTCGTGTCAGGCTCCTCACTCGTTGAACTTCAAGACGGGCGTTGGTCGGACAGACGGCGAGGGAATTGAGAGGAGCTGGTCAGAATTGAATCGCGTGGCTAACAGTACCAAAGAGATGGGCCCGGGTTCGCGTCACGACACCCTTGATGATCACATAGGTCATCATAATTTTAGAAAGTATGTCGGACTTGGTGAGTCACGCCTCCTCTTCGCTGGTTGCTCAATTGAACTGAACCTCGTTCAGGACGGTCTCTCCATTCACGGCTTATCCTGGCGATGGCGGAGCAAAAGCGGCAAAAGCAAATTTTCGATGACTTCACGGCTTCACTCACCTCCGAGGTCGAGGAATTGTGGACGACCAGGATATTGGAGTGGGAAAAGGATCCAAAGAAACCGAACCCTTACGTGGCTATTGTGAGCCGTGAGTGCGTTTTGTTCATCGATGCCATAACACCTGCTTAATTTTCGTACTTAGATGCTTCTCAGGATGAAGTGAAGAAGCGGCTCCTTCAAGAGGAAATTGCCGTGGTGAAAGCGGGCATCCCTCAGCTACACGTCACAGGTCCAACGGCATTCATCTCACTCGGGTTGTTGGTGGAAGAAAATCAGTAAGCAATGATTTACTTGTTTGTGATGCTCGTTACTGACAGGTAGTATCTAGGCGGAGAATCCGCTGGGACTCACGGCACCCAAATTCCCTTACAACAAGTCAAGATAACGAAATTCAACACCGACGGTTGCTTCTACTTCGCCAGTTAAAACATTTCCATAACCTACAAGCTGTTTACATGCCGGCGGCATCTTTAATGCTGTCACAGCAGGAGGAAGGCCAACGGGAGGCAGAGTCCAGTGAGGCAGAGGTCAATGATATGCATTCTGGGACTGATGTCGAGCATGAGCCGTTGTGGCTCCCGTCCTCCCTTCCCGAAAACCATCAAAAACACAACTGCGACAAAAATCTCATCATGATCGAGTCGAGTCTCCGTCGAGCCCAGTGCGAGGATACCTTGGACAAGATCCGCAGCCTTCAACGTGGCCGTCTCTCCTTTATCAGCTTCCGCAACCGCAACATCCGGCATCAGAACCCAAAAACACGGGCTCAAGACACTCTCAACCGTTTGGAAGAAAAGTCGAAGGCCCTCGCCGTAAAATATAGGATGGCCCGAGCGGCATTATTTGAACTTGTGGGCCCTGGCGATTGGGAAAATCAGCTCCGAGAGTTAAACCACGGAGACCTGACGACACCTGATGGGCATGAGATCAACATCGACAATCCAGATCATCCGTTCGGAGCAGATGGGCGAGCGCTTTCAAAGAAGAAACGGGCGAATATCAAGAAGGGCCTGGGTCAAGGCAAAAAGGTCGTGTCGTGGATATGGACCACAGCACAGTCCATTGTGAGCGGCAGTGAGGATGATTTGCATGAGGGTAAGTCTTTTGCCCTTACCTGTGATCAAACTGAGATACATGTACAGCCGTCATGGTCGAATGGGCAAAAGCGCGTGCAAGGCATCTACGATGGTGGGAGGAGGTGTGTTTGTTGAAGGAGGAGATGAGACGTGTGCGGCAGAGCCTGGAGTGGAAGGCGGCGTGGTGGGAGGAGCGACAGCTGGGGTGGGAGGGGCTGGATGATGCTGGACGGGAGGGCATCCAGGCGTATGCGGTCAGGCAGGCCAATATGCAGCGTGCGCTTCATGCTCGATTTTGCCGTTTGTGGGACAAGCCCATGATGCCATTGGTTAGCCAGGATGATAGTGGGGAGGTGCCCTCATTTATCTTAGACCCTGTACTTGAGGAGCTGGTGGAGGAGGACGAGGGGTAGCAATATACCACTTTTTGCTGCATCGGGAATCTCGGGTGAGAGCGTATTTGCACGTATTTACCAGCAGCGGCAATTCGTGAACGTCATCCAAATTGAACATGTTCAATCCATCCTCTTGTGACATATTGACACGGAGGAAAGTGTCAGATTCATTGGAAATATATTGTGAGATTTGTTTAAAATGTTCTCCCCTGCTTCATTCTACGTGAAACATAGTCAGGATGGTGAAACATGGTTGTCCATCAGAAATACACGATTTATTATTTGGTTCTGTTAGGATCAGAGATCACAAAACCAGAATATGAAACAGGAATGACGGAGTGCTGTCAATATCACACATATATAGTATATCAATAAATATGTACCCATATAACATCAACAATACCTCTTCCCACCCACCCTACAGCAAGCTGTGCATTAATCCACATCCAGACCAAGTGGTCAGATGCGCTCCCTATGGAAATGAATAAAGTGCATCCTTCCAGTTTATAAGGCATAGGACTACAGCCAAGGGTGGCCAGATATCATCAGGACAGCTTGTTTCCCATCTTGTTTTGCTCTTTACTCTGCCACAATTCCTTTGAAGTGTCAGTGGAAGGAGTCTCCGAGATCCTGTGCCTGCAATACAGATCTTTGGAAATCTCAGAATACATCCAGAGGATCAAAATTGGTCCAGACGGCTCTATACTACACAGTCTTTTGATTCCTGGCTTTCTTTCTTTCTTTCTCGCCAGATTATTGAAGATGCACTTGATGAAAGCTTTCGGCGATGTGAAAATTCTACAGCTGCACTTGGTGGAGATATGCATGATGTTCATGACAGCCCTGCCTGGCGAGATTTGACAGGCCTTTTTTCTACTGCTCGCCATCTGGTCTTTGGGATATATATTGATTGGTTTAATCCTTTTACAAACAAGATTGCTGGTATGTCAGAAATATTTCATTGTTATTTCACATATATTGATTTTATATTTTCAAAATAGGAAAGCATGCATCTTGTGGTGCCATTGTTCTTTATTGTCTGAATCTTCCTCCACACTTGCACTATCTGCCTGAAAACACATTTATTGTTGGCCTCACTCCCCCACCAAATGCACCAGATATGATCACCATCTCCCACATTATTGAACCCCTCATTGATTCTGTTCTCAAATATGCCACTCCTCCAGGTCAACACCTTCCTACATTTCGACATCCTGCTGGTGTTTGGTTTCAGATAAAAGTTGCACCCCTTATTTCTGATATAGAGGCAAGTCACAAGGCTGGAGGATTTATGGCTCATGCAGCCACACTTTTCTGTTCTTTTTGCCTCTGTACTGCAGACCAGATTGAAGAGCTCAACCTTCAGTCTTGGCCTTTGCGTCAATGTGCACAAGTACGAGATCAGGCTCAAGTATGGCTGAACACAGCAACAAAATCTGGTCACAAAGCTCAGGCTCAATCTACTGGGGTGCGGTGGACTCCTCTCCACCATCTGCCTTACTGGGATCCTGTTAAACATGTTCTTCTTGGGTATATGCACAACTGGCAGGAAGGAGTGTTAAAACATCAACTCCGTGTTCTGTGGGCCATTGGGCCACAAGAGGGTTCTCAGAATACTGGTCAGGCAATTGATGAGGAGGAACAGTGGACTGAAACAGATGTATCTGAGTCTGCAAGTGAGCTTGATGAGTTACATCGAGAGGCAGCAGAGGCAGAAGCAGCACCCCTCCACCAAAACCCTTCATTCTCATCCCAGCATTCTGGCCGATCTTCAATGCTTTCTGGAACACCAACTCAAGATGAACCACATCCCTATGCATTTGACATGCAGGATGAGGTTGATGAAGTCACTGGAGATCCAGATTATATTCCTGACACCAAAGAACACTTTACCTTCACGGATGCACAGCTTCAGGCGATTCGAAACTGCATTTCCAATGTTACTCTCCCACATGGGCACAGCGACCTCCAACAAACCTTGGAGAACCAAGTCATGGGAAGCTGAAAGCTCATGAGTACCTCACACTCTTCAGCTGTATCTTTCCACTTATAATTCCAGAGTTCTGGCACTCTGAAACAATGACAAATCTTCAGCACCAACATCTCCAATCCTTTCACCATCTTGTTGCAGCCACAAACATACTATCATCCTTCAAGACTTCTAATGCCAGTGCAGATGAATACACTGGTCACTACATTCAATATCGGCAATCCATCCAAGCTCTATTCCCTCATGTTCACTCAAAGCCAAATCATCATTACGCCATGCACAATGGGGCTCTACTAAAATATTGGGGTCCTCTACCACCTCTTAGTGAGTTTGCAGGTGAGCGGATGAATGGCATGTTGCAGAAGATCAAAACAAATTGGAGGTTTCGTATGTTTTTACAATTATTTTGCAAACTATAATTTCTGATTTGAGTATACAGGAGATCTTGATTTAACGATGCTTCGCCAAATGAGTCATAGAGGCTGAGTAGATGCTTTACTGCAAGATGGACTACAAGACGGTAGAATGAATGGCCTTGCAAATATTTTACAACCAGCTATCAAAACTTCAGATTTCTCACCCACTCCCCTGGACTCTGCTGAAATGGCAGCAGTTTTCAAAAAGGCATCAAATCTTCCACGGGATGCCTATGATGCTCTCCTTGTCTACCTTCAGGCCACTGGACACCAATATCAAGCTTACGATGCATTTCCCCATCCTCCCAATGCTCTTATCCTTCCTCCAAGGTTGAACTCCCTCTCCAGGTGCACCGAGGGGATCACACTTTCAGCTGTCAGCACTCACACGAAGGGAACAGTGCTATCCAGTTTTGCAATCCTCATACACAGGAGCATGATACAGGATTTATTGAAGCAATCTGGCATGTCCCACTTGAGGGAGCCATGCACACAATTTTTGTTGTTCACCCACACCAGCAGCTGCCTAATTCAGAGGAGGGATGGGCTCCATTTGTTCATTTTCCAGGTTTTATGAGCCAAATTGTTGATGCAGTTCCCTCTAGGCAGCTGATAATCATACAGCCAGTCCACCTTGTCACCCATCTTACAACATTCCAGTGCCCATTGGGAACATATGGCATTCCAAGAGAAACCGTGATTATTTGTTGGGCTTTAAATAGAGGATGATGGTAGCACTCATATCCATAAGCATAGAGTTGTATTCAAAACCTGTACATAAAGAGGGACATAGGCATGCATGATGAAGAGGAATAGGGGGCATATGATGAGGGGTGACAACATAAGAAGCATAGGAAATGTGTAGAATGGTGTTGGAAAAATGAACATGTATGATGAGGGAAAGAAAAATAAATAAAAGGATAGGCATGTAACAAGGAAACGAATTGTGAATGTGGAGAACAATACCTGACAAGCTAGAAATCCCCTTACTCATCCCCAGATCCCTCATTCACAGATCCCTCATTCACAGATCCCTCATCCCCAAGTTGAGCCTCCAAATCCAACTCTTCAAGTTCTTCCTCCCACTGTCAAAGCTGTGTGACCTCTTCCTTTGTAGGCATCTTGTACAGTGCCAGCACTGCATTTCCATATGTTTTCATAAACTCTTCCTTCGGTAGGTTCTTCCATAAACTGCACTGCTCCCAGGTCTGACAATGCTCTGCGAGAGGAAGGCCAATGCGGACACCATGCTCTATATAGTCAAGACGCTCGCGCACAGTTAAGGTGGTATTCCAGTAGCCTGGGTCAAACTAGTCAATTGGAATAAACTTTGGCAAGGCAAAGAGCTCTGATTCAAGGGGAGTCAGAGGGTCTTCACGAGTATGCTCTGCCCTGGAATATAGATGAATGAAGACAAATAAGAATAGTACCAAAAAACTCACCTGCAATTTCGGCGCTTTGCTTGGGATCGATCCAGGCGCCTACGCTGAGAATCAAGCATCCAAAAGAATGACTTCACTTTAATTGAGCAACCATCCTTAACCTTGATGTGATAGGTGAGCTGAGAGCCTGAATCCCCCTCTGCAAGCTCATCGTCTGAATGAGCCTCAGCCTCATCAGCGAGATCAACAGTCCGCTCATTAAATCCCTGTGCCTTTAGGATACGAACTTGTCCTGCAGAGAGCTACCCCAGTGGTGAGCTAGCTGCAGATAAAGATAGAAAAAGAAAATACCTCTTTACATCGCTTCCAAACATTTATCATTGTTTTCGATTTTGCAACGCTCCCTGGAGTCTTACTCTCCGATTTGGCAATGCCATGCATGTAAGAATAAACGAAGTTGCAATAGAGCTTTCGCATGAGAACAGAGTTACGAATGAGGCTAAGATCAATCCCAAGATGTGAATAGCCAAAGCCAGCTGCGACCTGTTCAAAGGTCACCAGAGCAATGTGCTCATGCAGCAAGTTATACATAGAGTTAGGATCCTGACTGAGAACATCAGGAGCCCAGCGTGCAAGCCCAAAGAATGAGATGGTCCTGAACATGAGACAAAGAAAACTTTCATCAATGCGCTGGATGTGATTTGCTGTGGTACTATTCAAGTCAGTCAGAGAGTCCAGAAGCTGTTGAACCCTAGATTGAGCCTGGTTAATGTCAACAGAATTGGCATCAAGGCTGGCATGAACGGAGGATTTGATAGCAGACTCGGAAGAGAAACGAGAGTTATAGTGTGCTCTATCAACAAGCGTGACTTTCGGAGGGACCGAATTCTGGCTCAGTAACTGCCAGAGTGCTTGACAATGGACTTGAAGAGCTAGCTGGAAGGATATGAGCATAGGACTAGATTGAAAACAACAGCTCTACGCACCTTGGTTGCCTCTGATTTTTCTGGTATCTCCCCTTTTGTCAGATGCCAGTCACTTGGCCTTTTACCCTTCTTAGAACGAGCCGGCACAACACTCTTTCGAGACCTCTTTGTCTTTGATGGGCCAGGCTCAGGCGGCGTCGATGATCGCTTCCGTTTGGAGGCACTGCCATGAGTATTGGCAAGAGTTGGTGAATCAGGTGGAGGTGAGGAAGCCGGAGGGTCCATTGGTATGTCGTTGTCAGGCATTGCAATCAGTGATGAGAAGAGGGAGGGAAGGAATGTCAAAAATGCGAAATTGACAGAGAGGAAAGGCCATGTGCCATAACGCGTTGCGTCGAAGAACAAAGGACGCAACGCAACTGGCTCCAAAAACGGTGCCTGCCATCACCCCAATGTGTGCGACCCTGGACATGTCACAGATGTTGAACCGACGTCGATTGACGTGGTGCGACAACGCTGCGACATGGGTGGATGGAGTTGGGGGGCCTTAGCTGGGGTGATGGAGGGATGGTGAGGGGTGGTGATGGGCTGTTGGGTGACCCCCACAGCGTGGACGAACATGCACCACAATAACTGGTATCTAGAGTGAATGTCAGTTCCACAATAAAAGTCACATTGGCAATATGACATACCTTGCAGGCCTCCCACTTCATGGGTCCCCTCTTTGAAGTTGCTCTGCTCCTCTGTTCCATCTGAGTGCAAATTGAAGTTGACGAAAGCTGAAGATGTCGAAGCAGGTAGAGGCCCGAAATCCGATGTCAGACTCTTTGGCACAGCCTACAAACAAACACAATGTGGTAAACTTGCCCAATGGAAGTCAACTGCCAGACAACTGCCAGACAACTGCCAGACAACTGCCTTTAAGGCAGTTGACCATCAACTGCCCTGGTAATTGCCTCCAGTGTGGAGTACTGGCAACAACACATATGAGCTTTGAACACAAGCTGCCTTAAATGGCCTTACACAAGGAACCTATCCATCAATAGCAAAAGCTATGGAGGAGCACAATGTGTGTCAGCCTCCATTTTTTAGCAAGCCTGTGTTATTAACACAACACAGGTCAGCTGGCAAACCTTGTCCAACAGAGTGAGGGGAATTCACATCAGTTGAAAAGAGGCTTATGAGAAGTGGGACCTATTGTCAAATTCAGAGGAGAATGTCCTTCTTTTGTGGTGTGACCACATGGCTATCACTGCAAAACCCATGGACCCATGGACCCTGCATGGACATGCACTTCTTGATCAAAGGGATTTATCCTGAAAAACATTGGCATTGATGCTTCATTAAACAACATCCAGAGCTCAAGCTTGGAAAAGCTAGTGGCCTTGATCCAAACCAAGCAAATAACTTCGATGAGGCAACAATGAAACATTACTTCCAGCTCTGTCAGGAACTGGAGGAAAAGTATGATGGAATCCCACCTGAACATCAATGGAATGTGGATGAGAAAGGTATTCAATTGGGTGGAGGGTGAAAAAATAATGGCTGCAAGTTCATTTTTACACACCACCAAAAGGAGCACTACAGAATCAAGAGTGACAACCTCAAGCTTGTAACAATCATTGAGTGTGTCTCTGCAGCTGGTGTGGCGTTGCCACCTAGTTTTGTTCTCAAGGATGGGCCAAAACCTGATACTCAAGGGCTAGTCGATGAATCTGTGTTGAGGTAATAGGTTTTCTTGGAATTTTGATTGATGGCTAATGCTTTTTACATATTTTAGCATCACATTCTCTCCAAATGGCTGGACTGACCATGAAATATGTGAGTGGTGGTTCACAGACCAGGCTGTTCCTTTCATGATGTCCAAGCATGTTTGCAACAAGCCCATTTTTCTCAACTATGATGGTCACAACTCACATGAAACCATTGATATGCAACAAGTCACACTTAACATGAATGTCATTCTCATCACATTTCCCTCAAAAACAACACAAAACTCAGCCACTGGATGTAAGCATCTTTCAAGCACTAGTGGCTACCACTATTTATCATAATACTAAGACATATGCCTAGAGCTAAGTATCTATATCTCCAGCATAATTATGAAAGGCCTTTCATTTGAATTGCTTATGTCTCTCATTCATTAAAATGCTGGGCTTCACTCATAAGTTGTAGGAGAATTCAATTGTGAATTTCATAAAGGTGGCTGCCAATTTCATTCCAATTTCATACTGCTTTCATTTTCTTATCTGACCATTTCATTATAGATTCTCATATGATACCTTGAGAAATTTCATTCTGATTTTCATACTTACTCCCACCACTTTCATTGTGGTTTTTCATTCTACACCTCTCAATATTTCATTCTGAATTTCATACCTACCCCACCCTTTTCATTGTGCACCTCTCAATATTTCATTTTGATTTTCATACCTATCCCACCACGTTCATTGTGATTTTTCATTCTGATTTTCATATCTACCCCACCACTTTCATATATCTGCCCCACTGCTTTCATTGATTTCTCATTGTGCAGCTCTCAGAATTTCATTCTGATTTTCATATCTACCCCCACTGCTTTCATTGTGCAGCCCTAATATCTCATCAATTTTCATTCTTACCCTTGGCGATTTCATTGTGATTTTTCATTATGTGGCTTACTATTTCATTTCAAGTATTTCATAATGTTTTCAGATCGGTCACATGACATATTGCACAGCAACAATGTGTATTAAGAGGTGACCAGAATCTTATCAAGGAGTATGAATGATGAATGTCTAATTATGTAGGGTAATAACAGGGTGGATGGCTGCCAGTTTACTCCAAATGAAGTCTGACAAGATGACATTATGAAACATAATGAAAAGATGAAATTGAAATGAACCTTTTCCCCTTCCCAGACAGACTAGGCTCCTTGCACCCTTGTTTCTTTCCTTGAGAGGCCCTCCCAATCTTTTCAGAAATATGATTGATCACCCAGCTAACATCATGGACAGCAGTCCATGTGTAGATTGATGAATCGGCTGGGGATAATGCTTTGATCCACCACGAAAGTGCCATGACAACAGTGTAGAGCCCTGCAGCACCACCCTTATGGAGGGAGCACCAATCCTCTGCAGCGGGCATTGCATAGATGAAGGAACTGTCCAGATGGACTCCATGTGGATACCTGGACTCCACATGGAATCTGTGGGGGAGGGTAAAGTCCTCTTCTTGCTCTTGATCCATGCCTTGACCTCTTCTGGACATGAGTAGTAGGTAGGTTCTGTAGAAAAGGTCAGATATTGAATGATAATACATAACAAGAAAACCTTTACATACACCAGTAATTGTATTTTCCATCTCAAACTTGAAGAACAACAAGACAAGATCCTGCCAGGCCTTCACCTCAGAAATCCCATGCAGATAACCCAACATGCCGTTGCTGGTCAACCAGGTCAGAAGCTTGCTTGGGTTGTTGACAACAGTCGAAATTGACAATGTCAGATTGTTGGTGCCACTCACCCTGTCAACGTCCATCAGGGCAGCCTTCAATTCGTCATCCTGGCCATTGGTAGCCAAAGTTGGTGCTGAGGGTGATGTGGTTCCCTTCACTTTGTCCACATCCATGGGATGAGGGTTCAGAGTTAGTTCAGTGTTGCTGTCGTTGAGAGTCAATGTGGCAAGTGGAACAGGCACAGAGGCCACTTTGGCAGGAATTTCTGGGGTGGAAACAGGTGACATGGCTTGATCCACCTGGTTGATATTGATTACACAAGGGTCCAGAGTTGGTTTGGTATTGCCGTTGTTGAGGATCAAAGTCAGCATAGCAAGTGGAATGAGTGCAGAAGCCACATTTTCAGGTGTTACTGAGGGCACAGAGGGAATGGGTGCAAGAGGCAGCATGGTTTCAGTTGGTGCAGAGGACACATTTGAGACCAAACCTAGGAGTTGGAAGGGAGCTGACAGGGGTACATCAACAGGAGATAAAAAGCCCAAAGTGTCATGTGTGCCTTGTCCTCCGTCCTTGTCCAGATGAGTTCCTGTGTCAATGAGAGCCCCTGCCTGGCCAATGATTTCAACTGGATCGACACTGTAGGTGGAGGTTTGGCAGGCATGTTGCTGATGATGATAAGCAGGGTTCCATGTCCAAAGATTCCACAACAGGGCATTCAGTAGATACGCTATGGAACCATAACAATAGAAATTGACAATTGTCCCAATAAGTCATAGGGCTACCCCAATGGGCCCAAGTACAAAGGACGTTATGACACTGTACATTGGCCCAATGATGTAAGAATATGTATATTTGATTGTTGGGCCCAATGAAGCTGCCACTGTCAAAGCCAAGGGTTTATAGATTGGCCACATGGGTTAAATGGGGGTAATTTTGACCGTCAATATATGATTGCATTAAGCTACAGTTGATAGTTGGGCCCAACATAGGGTAATGGTTAATGGTCAAGGTTGGGCCCAATGGCCCAATTATTAAGCTACAGTTGAAGGTTGGGCCCAACATCAGGTAATTGTTATTTCGACAAGTTGGGCCCAACGGCGAAATTCATATGACATGGCTTGTATCTTGGGCCCATGGATCAAAATACACTATAGTTCCAAAGGTTAGCCCAATCTTTGGATTTTCGGGGTTGGGGCATTGTTCCATTAAGACCGGCCCCACGGACCCGCAGTTGTTCCAGACGTGTTGCCCCACCGCACCCGCGGATTAAAACGCGGACAAGCAATTGTTCCGTTACCCCCGTGGGCCCACCCACCTTTCTTTGACCCGTGAACCGCCTGCTGCTCCCGTGCACCCGCGGACCGAAATAAGGACGTAAAATCGTTCTGTTACACCCGCGGGCCCACCCTCCTTTCTTTGACCCGTGAACCGCCTGCTGCTCCCGTGCACCCGTGGACCGAAATGCGGACGAAAAATCGTTCCCTCCTTTCTTTGACCCGTGTTGCTCCATCACACCCGTGGACCACAACGCGGAACAGCAATTGTTCCGTTACCCCCGCGGGCCAACAGTCGTTCTGTTACATCCCCCGTGGACGCTGTTGCTCCGTTGCGGCGACGGACCAAGGACTGTTCCATGACACCCACGGGCGAAGACTTTCGTTACACCTGTGGACCGCCTGTTGATCCGTTACACCCGCGGGCCACTGGCTAGACCTCCTGAGGATGGGGCTTTGACAGGCATGGGCCACCCAAAATAGGTGGCATAGGATATAGTCTGAAGTCCGATGAATCGTCTGGGAGCAATTTCTTAAAGAGACGAAATAGGGACTGTTCAGGCTTAATGTGGTCTAGTTAAACATGAGGATGACATGAGGCCATATTGTATATAAACCTCCGTGATGAAAATAATATTTGCAGGACGGCATGACCACTGCTATGCCTGCCTTGCAGGCTCTTACAGACGATGTTGCCCTCTATATGTCCGGGAGACTCCGCTACAACATCTTGCAGGAGGGTCCGAACGACTTCCCACCAAAGGAGCTAGGCGAGGACCTTGTCACCGCATGCGAACAGGCTATTTCGGTGATAACGGAGGCATGGATGGCGAAGCCTATTCAAGTGGACTGGCATATCGAGGAGTTCGTTAAGGAGTTGGGATCACGACCTACAGGTATTCGTCAGTATCATTTTTATCCAACGGAATGATGATGTCTCCTCCAGGAATGAATGAAGTTTTGGAGGCGGACTTAATGAAGAAGTTTCCACCTGCATATCCCTCTGAACGGGAGGTTGTGGAAGGAAGGCCCTTGAGAGTTCTGGATGTCCGCGGCTTTACGCTGGCTTGGTATTTGCCTGAGGCAATATCGGAAACTGTTCAGGTGAACTCCACCGCCTTGTTATTCAGCTGTGGAACTTACCTTTCATTCATCAGAACCGTCTTATATGTGCATTGGCCCATCTTAGGCCCTACTTGAAAGCTAACCCTCCTCGAAGCGGAGGCGGATGGCGAAATGACACAAGTGGCTACCACCTTTATCATAAAACTAAGGCACTTGCCTGTAGAGCTGTGTGTATAAGTCCACAAGTTTTATGAAAGGCCTTTCATAGGTGTGTCCTGTGTCTTTCTTTCTCATAAAGGCTATGTTCTTCTCATAAGATATAGGCAAGGCCACAGAGTGCTTTTCATAATTAAACCTGTGCGCTTTCAATAGGTATTTCATTCACTGGGTTAGGTGTATTCATTGCCTTTTTCATAATTAATGGTGTGCACTTTCATTGAATATTTCATTAGGAATTTTGGGCGCTTTCATTGCTTTTTTCATAATTAATCCTGTGTGATTTCAATAAATATTTCATTCACTATGTTAGGTGTATTCAATGCCTCTATCATATCTAATGGTGTGCGCTTTCATTGAATATTTCATTAGGAATATTGGATGCTTTCATTGTACTTTTCATAATTAATGTTGTGCAGTTTCAATAAATATCTCATTCCCTAGGTCAGGTGTATTCATTGCCTCTTTCATATCTAATGGTGTGCGCTTTCATTGAATATTTCATTAGGAATATTGGATGCTTTCATTGTACTTTTCATAATTAATGTTGTGCAGTTTCAATAAATATCTCATTCCCTAGGTCAGGTGTATTCATTGCCTCTTTCATATTTAATGGTGTACGCTTTCATTGAATATTTCATTAGGAATATTGGATGCTTTCATTGTACTTTTCATAATTAATGTTGTGCAATTTCAATAAATATCTCATTCCCTAGGTCAGGTGTATTCATTGCCTCTTTCATATTTAATAGTGTGCGCTTTCATTGAATATTTCATTAGGAATATTGGATGCTTTCATTGTACTTTTCATAATTAATGTTGTGCAATTTCAATAAATATCTCATTCCCTAGGTCAGGTGTATTCATTGCCTCTTTCATATTTAATAGTGTGCGCTTTCATTGAATATTTCATTAGGAATATTGGATGCTTTCATTGTACTTTTCATAATTAATGCTGTGCAATTTCAATAAATATCTCATTCCCTAGGTCAGGTGTATTCATTGCCTCTTTCATATTTAATGTGTGCGCTTTCATTGAATATTTCATTAGGAATATTGGGTGCTTTCATTGTGCATTTCAATAAATATCTCATTCCCTAGGTTATATGTATTCATTGCTTCTTTCATAATTAATGTGTGCGCTTTCATTGAATATTTCATTAGGAATATTGGGATTTTTCATTGTACTTTCTCAATATTAA